CGCTGTTAGGCGGGTTTCTCGGCTGTTCATTCTATATTTGCAAAGATTGCAACGATTAAGCACAAAGAATACGAATAAGAAAAGCAATATTTATCTGAAGCTTTGAAAACTATTTAATTGACTCAAAACTTTGAAATCAAAAGATTTTCAAAAATAAAATAAATAAGAGAAAAGAAAAAGCATAAAATCTCCATAAAATCTCAATGTAAAAAGTGTTTTGCTGATAATTTCCCCTTAAACTATGCAAATTCGCCTTTAACCTAGGCAAATTTTCACTTAAACTGCTTAAATTTGCTTTCAAAAAAGTCGAAAACCGTTAAAAGTGCATAATTTCAAATCAATATTCAAAAATTATACAAAAAATAGCAAAATAGCTGAGATGTCGATAGCTGAGATGTCGTTTTTTTGAAATCTACGCATAAAATTACTTTAGAAAAACGGGTTTTCAAGAAAACAAGGCTCAAAGGTTTAAACGATTTAAACAAAACGATTTAAACAAAGTTTCATGTCTAGGTTTCATGTTTCAAGGTTTCATGCCCCCAAACAAGGCTCAAAGATTTAAACGATCGAATCTCTATTGCAGAGAAAACTTCCAAAAATCCTACAAGAAATTCTGAAGCCTTTTTCAGAGAGAAAGCCTAGAAGTGGTGTTTCGCATTTTGGGGAAAAAGGAGAGAAAAGGAGGCTGGACGAAAAGAAACGAATTCGCAGCTGTCCGCCGCGCAGAGGGCCGCCCCTCTTCCTTTTTCTCCCTTCTTCTTCCTTTTCAACATTGACGGAAAAGAGAATGGTATACCCTCTTTCGCCTCTTTCCCTCTTTCCCTCTTTCCCTCTTTCCCTATTTCCCTCTTTCCCTCTTTTCCCTCTTTCCCTCTTCTCTTTTCCCCTCCATTTCCCCTCAACCCCACATATGCACCTCTCGAATCGACTGGGGAATTGAAGAGTGGGAGGAAAGAAAGAGAATGAGAGAAAGGGATTATTCAGCCACACTCCGGTCGATACTCCTGCACCCCATCTCTTTCTTTTTCCCTTTTCCCCTCTCCATCTTTCCATGAACTCAAAATTTGCATCTTCTTTAAGTGAATTCGATAAAAGTAACAAATTTCAAATTATACTGAACGAAAACCGGCAGCGAATGGTTTACTGCAATCTACTATATATAAAAGTGCAGTATCTGTCTGTCTGTTTGGCTGTCTGTCTGTCTGTCTGCCTGTTTTTCTGTCTGTTTGTCTGTCTGTCTGTCTGTCTGTTTGTCTGCTTGTCTGTCTGCCTGCTTGTTCGTCTATCTATCCGTCTGTCTGTCCGTCTGTATGTCTGTATGTCTATCTGTCCATCTGTCTGTCTGTCTATCTGTCTGTCCGTCTGTATGTCTGTCTGTCCAGTAGATAGATGATGTCCAGTAGATAGATAGATATCGATATTGCGTCGGAGAATATCAGGATTTAGTCTCGAGCTTGTTTTAAGCAAGGGAAAACAAGCGCTGAGCGTCAGTGTTTAATCTATTTCCTATTAATCCTATTAATCCTAATCTATTAATCCGAAGAATCCTAAAGTACAAATAACGAGAAAAAATCGAAATTTTGACATTTCATGCTTTCTACAGGCTTTGACTAAAAAAAATACTGAAAAATCAGCATTCACAGTTCAAAAACTTTCACAAATTTACAAAAAAGTAGGCCGGAGAAAAAGCTAATGAAAAAGTTAATGAAAAGCTAATGAAAAGTTAATAAAGCTATTAGCTATTAGCTAAAAAAGCTTCAAAGCTTCAATTGACTTCAAAAAAAAGCTTCAAATGATTACAAAACTATGCTATAAAGGCCTATTTGACTATTTGGCCTATTTGGCCTATTTGACTTTAAATTTTGACTCTTGTGAATGTCTTCTGTGCTTCACAGGATGTAGATTTACAAGAGTTGCATTCACTCATAAATTTTATTTGAATTCGGAGAAGATCGGGGAAAGATGAAAGAGATGAAAGAGATGAAAGGACGAAGGGGAAAGGGGAAAACCGCTCGATACTCACCCAACTTCTCTATTCCCTCAACTTCTCGATTCCCTACTCTTTTCCTATTTTCGTCGTTTCTAGAAACGAGAAACACTTCTTCTGACCAATACAGACAGCTTTCTTTCTTTCTTTCTTTCTTTCTTTCTTTTTTTTCTTCTTCTTCTTTCCCTTGCCTTTCCCTCTTTCTCTTGGCAAGTTAAGGTACTGGATAGCTCAATGGCTAGAGGCTCAATGGCTAGAGGCTCAATGGCTAGAGGCTCAATGGCTAGAGGCTCAATGGCTGAGGCTCAATGGCTAGAGCTCAATGGCTAGAGGCTCAATGGCTAGAGGCTCAATGGCTAGAGGCTCAATGGCTAGAGGCTCAATGGCTAGAGGCTCAATGGCTAGAGCAAAGGTTATAATTTCAGAAAATGATACCCAAAGATGTCAAAAATTCTTCCATGACGTCAAAACGTTGGGAACTTTGTGAACTTCAAAAAACTTTGTGAGAAAAAGAAAAAGAAATGAAATTGCAAATGAAGAATTGAGCAAAAAAAACAATTTTATAAATGATCAGATCAGAGATTTCTAGAAGTCTCTCAAATCAATTTTTGTTCTGAAACAATAAGTATACGCTACGTCCAATTCAGAATCAAGCCCATCACTCTAAACAGATCAGACGATCAGACGGAACAGATCAGACGTTGATCAGACGTTGATCAGACGTTTGACCTCACTTCACTCTAGATCCGATCTCTAGAACACTCTAGAAAATTCTAGATCACTCTAGAATACTCTAGAACACTCTAGATCACTCTAGAACGTAACAGAGATACTGGTTTAACTAATCCAAGCAATCAATCAGAAACAAATCCTACTGAAACCCTATCCTAAACTACCAAATGCCATCCCAGGAATTCAAATTCTGAACTTCAGCATAACTCTTGAAAGTCAATCAAAGTCAATGTCAATCAAAGTCAACTTTGTGAAGTGACGATGGTCAATGAAATCACGGCGGTGCAAACCGACCCGTAGTTTAATTTCAACGCGCGACTCGCTTGGGACTCTGAACCTGCGACTAACCGAGCCCAACGTTGCTCTTAACTTGGCGGATCGAACGTGATGATTACCAGACATTTGATAACTGGGCATTAGTGCATTCGGTTTTTAGAGCTAAATAAATATTTGGTGATCAAATGCCCAGTTATCTAATGTCCAGTTATCAAATGTCCAGTTATCAAATGTCCAGTTATCTAACGTCCAGTTATCAAATGTCCAGTTATCAAATGTCCAGTTATCTAACGTCCAGTTATCTAATGTCCAGTTATCAAATCTCCAGTTATCAAATGTCCAGTTATCAAATGTCCAGTTATCTAATGTCCAGTTATCTAATGTCCAGTTATCTAATGTCCAATAACCGACGAGATGCCGTGTTTAAACGTGGCGAGAACCGTAACGTGAGACAGGACGGATATCAGTTTAGATATCAGTTTAGATATCAGTTTGATATCAGTTTAGATATCAGTTTAGATATCAGTTTAGATATCAGTTTAGATATCAGTTTAGAAGTCTTGTGATTGAATTGAAATTTCCGGCTGCTAGCTACAAATTTACAAGCTGAAATACAAAATCAAATACAAAATCGCAAATGCAAATCTATACAAAAAGAACCCTTCATTTCCAGCAACTCTCAGTTTTTCTACCAATAAAACCGTAGTTTGCAATGTTCTGGTTAAGTAAAAACGCAAGGATTTCCATTTTTTCAAACATAAGACTTCACAAAGTCGGTTAAAAAGTTAGTTAGTTAGTTAGTTATGTTAAAAGTTGTTGACAAAACTGAAACCGAAAGCAAGAGATAATCTTTTTTGCTTGCGGATCTTTACGGTTACCGGGTGGGGGAGGAGGAGGAGGGAGGAGGAAGAGGGAGGGTGGAAGAGGTGGAAGAGGAGGAGGAGGGAAGAGGAGGAGGGAGGGAAGAGGGAGGAGGAGGAAGGGGAGGAGGTGGAAGAGGAGGTGGAAGAGGGGCGGAGGAGGAGGGGAAGGAGGGAGGAGGGGGGGAAGAGGAGGAGGAGGAAGAGGGAGGAGGAAGAGGAGGAGGAGGAAGAGGAGGTGGAAGAGGAGGTGGAAGAGGTGGAAGAGGGAGGAGGGAGGAGGAAGAGGAGGAGGTATAATCATATAATCAATAAAAGTATAATCATAAAAATCTGTGGTAAAAGAATCTTTGGGTAAAAGTTTCGGCCTAATTTACTACAGTGTCTTCTATTCTATTCTAATTCACCTACACTCTCAATTGTGTCTGTGGCAGTGACTGTTCCAACCACAAACAGTCATGAACTTTGGCTATTCAAAAGCAAAGTCTCGAGTATCGACAAACTATGAAAGTTCATTTATAAAAGTTGTGAGTTACCAAAAACACTATTGCATTCGAATTATTGAAGTTTGATAAATTTATTTTGTGCACTTTTTTTTTCACTTCTCCCACGTTCTTATTACCACCTTTTGTAGTGATTTGAACTTCGCGACTTTTTAAAATACTAGCTTCACTTCAAATACAATTTTTTTGTAGTCAGATCTCAATTTCCACAAAAAAACTTCATCGGTTATTTTTAAGAAAACAAATAAACCCACTTTATCCCAAATCGAGAACTGAGAGAAAAATACCCGCACTTTGACACAAGCTTCAAAAGAATCAAAAAAGATGAAAATTTACAACAATGTACACAGCGGCGTTAAACTCGAAATATGCACAAGCAATTTTACCGACTAGAAATATGGGAATATAAAAGTATAATAGACAAAGTAAACTTCAAACAAATGCAGATCAAAGAAAAAAAAAGAAAAGAATAGGGTACAAGATTTAAAGAACCTAAACGCTGGAATACCCGAAAAAAAACAGCTATCCGTTATCCGTAATTTCTGCAAAAACAATCATATGGCAGCAAGAGATTTTTGGTCTGTTATGCACACGAGGAAATTTGGTGAAATGACAAAATGCTTACAAACAATAAGGCATTCATTGTGAAGTGATTGGACTGAGGAGAACATCGTCTACATCATTGTCGCTCCTTGCATGTCGCCTTCGCTGCCGCGTTGGAATCTGAAACCTTAAAAATTAACAACAAATTTATTGCTTGAGTTTTTAACTATCTAAATTTGTAAATTAGAATACTTTAAATGGTCATGTTTCATCAATACTTTAAATCAACTGTCATATCAACTCACCGCATCTTCAGGTATTGTCCCTTCATCCTCATCCGATGAAACAATCACGTCTTCGGGCAATTCTTCCAGCGAATTGTATCCCGAAACACCCGGTGATTTGAAAGTGACTAGAAAAAGCGAATTTCTTAGAATCAAACTAAGCACTCACTGTATTCTCCGTCATCCTCTGCTTCCGCGTTCGCCCTGAGTCCGTCGCTGGTCGAAGTGTAACGGGCAAATCGATGGCAATATCTTAAACAATCATTTCCAAATAAAATATAGGAAACTATTGCTAAAATTTGCCCAATCAAAGTTTACTAGCTAGCTCACTTTTCTTGTTGTTTCCGAACGAGCTTCGGTGGCACGCGTGAGCGTTTCAGTTGGCCATCCCATTCCAAATCGACCAATCCTCCCTTTTGAGCGATTGCCTTCTTCACTCGGTTAGCGAAATCGATCGCATCTTCACCTTCCTGAAACAGCAACTTCGAAATTTGCACAAAAGCCATGTACGCCTACTTGTGGTTATTTGGCGGCATACAAAAAAAATGACAAAAATGAAATGAATATTCACAAAAGAAACTTACATGTATCCTCATTGGTGGCAGGTACCAAACGTTGCAGATAATCGCCCAAGATGTCTGCATCCTAAATCCGTCTTGTTTAACGCATTCGCGACAATGTGAGTCACCGGTGACCAAAAGGTGTCTGGCCACTGGGACCGTATGAGTGACTCTCAGGCTATATTTGGCGTTTTTATGAACCAATTGGACTGAAAATTTGGATCCTAGGGCTTTCGGGGATGGGGAATCTACAGTAGCCCGAAGTACTCAAAATAGGGGTGGTCGTTTCGGCCATTTTGAGGAATTCCCAACTTCGGCACTAAAGAAACTTTTTTTTCCTCTTTGACCGATTTTGATGCTTTGGTATCAATCTCCACTAATAAAAAGTGAAGAGACCGCAAAAGTGTTGAAAAAATCACAAAGTTATTAATTTTCTTGTGAAAAAATCACGGTTATTTCAGAATTTTCACTTCTATACAAAACGAAGATTCTATATAAAATTTTCATTTTTACGTAATCGCGCGGCTTTTGGCACACGGTTTTTAGGTATAAGGGGACAAAACAAAGCTCGGTTTCTTTTTTTTTCTCTCCATTTCGGTTCAATTATCCAAGTTGTGGCACGTGTGTGGTGGCAGCCTTGGTGACTTCAGAATTCAAAACTTGGATTTGGCGGATTTGGATTTGGCTTCCTCACCACAGAAAACCCTTGGAAATAAAGTTTTAAACCTTTAGCCTTATTCCCAAATGATAGTTTTCAAATAAACACCCCTGTCGTGAATGTGTTAGAAAAAATAAAACCAAAAGCACCTCAAAAGATATTCGGCCCATGTTTGTTCACTACTATTCCAGAAGGGATCACCAAAACGAGAGTCGTACTTCATGGCAATTGGGAAGATCGTAGCTCCAACCTGCAATGAAAAGCTCGTAAAAGTTCGGAATGTTAAACCTCAAAAGATCCTTTCTTGAACATCATCACCGATGTGTTGTTTATGCAAGTGCCCTCCGGGAAGATCAAAATCGGTAGCTTGTTGACATCACTCACATGCTCACGCAACCTAAAACAAATTATTTGAGGCATAAGGTAAAAATTTATTCATCTTTCAGGGTGCACAAGAGAGTGAAGGTCAACTCAAAAAATTCTCTTTAAGTTTTGCTAACACGATAATTTAAACTTGAAAAAACTATCTACGATAACGTTAATGTAAAGCCACACTATCAGTGCAGATAATTTATACTTACATGTGCGCAACGGTTGCTCGATCCTTGGCCTCCGATCGCTCGAACCAAATGTGTGAAGATGCTCTTGAAAGCGCTCGTTGCACCAATCCAAGAATGCCTGGATGTCGTTGTCCAATTAAGGCGTACACGTTGTCTGTTGATAAAATCATTGCGTCCATTGGTGACGTGTGGTTGGCCACAGCAATTCCTGAATTTGAGCTTTACCTAAATAGGTATTCAAACAAGAGGATACCGCTGCCTGGAGGACGATTGTGCTCATCGTGGAAATGGACTACAGCAGAAACCGATCTTGAAAGAATCCGATAGCAGATGAGCATACAGTTAAAGTTGAGTCTCCTAAAAACTTTGCATTAATTAGATTCCTATGAATTTTTCATTTCTTTTAAAAAACTAAACCAATATTTAGCATCGTTTACATACTTGATCAGTTTGCAAGATTTGGCAAAATTCACCTTTTCAAAGCTCCATCGGGGAAAAGACCAATAATCGCCGTGCTGACCACCAAAAACACCAATCCGATGCTGAAGATTGATATCCGAAGAGGCAACAAAACGCAATAGCGTAGCAAGAATCCGAGCGAATAGAGGACCGTAAGCTTCCAGCTAAAATTTCAATAGAATGAACCATAAGCAATAGATTTACTTGACGAATTGATAAAATCGAATTGAAGTTCTCGTCAACATGTTCCAACTAGCCAATTGTTCCGCCTCAAATCGAGAAGTGACCTCATCTTCGATGATCGACTCGATACCAGCCTAAAGGAATGAAATCTTAAGGTAAAAATTAAGTTTATTTAATTCAGAACATTTATTAAATTCGCTGCAAATGTTTGGTTCACTTTTGCAATTGAAAACATTCACTCTTACTGGAGTTTTAAATTTTCAAGAACTCGCGATGTAAAAACAGCTGAATTTTTTTCTTTCAAAATTACCTTGACAAAGTCGATCGAATCCCTCATCACAGCCCATCCTCGACTGTTCACCAGCACTTCTCCATCGTCTTCGTCCTCGTCGAATTGGATCTGCGTTTCGCGACGAATTATGCCTAAGCAAATTCGATTTTTACATAACCAGATCAACGTGTTTTTGAACTAAACTCAACCGAATCTCAACTTAAAACCCACTATTCTTGCGGAGCAGGGCCGGTTCCGTGCGACTACAAACTGACGACACCGAACAAACACCTTAAAGAGTGAGCAGTGCTTGACAGTGAAGCAAATCATAAGGAAATGGGGAAAGTTAATTAACGGCTCAAAAATTCTCTTTTTTCTTTTTTGTCTTTTTTTTGTTTGACAAGAATATTAAATTGACAAGCTTCATTTTATTGAGAATTTGAACCATCAATTACTAGCACTTATGCTGTTTAGTCCTAAAACCCCAGACAAGTATCGCCTTTTCTGTGAGAATACGTTTAAGAATTGGTGAATTCAAAACAAAATAATAACTTTCTAATCCCTACAAAAATTCCATGGTTATTTGTTTTAAGGACTAAACAGCATACGTACTCAATAACTTTACTAAATTAATGCATGCAAACTGAAAAATCTACTCGTGCAAAGGAAAACCCAAAAAAACTAACTAGTTCCAGACCCATGCCGTCGCCGCATACCGCTTCCCGATTCGTATCCATCACTTCGTACTTCATTGTCATCAGAGGGCTGCTCATCATCCGAACTAAACCGACAATCATTAGTGCATTTTCAATAAAACACTTTTATCCTTAACGCAAACACAATCTTTTTTACCTTTTTACAATCACTACTGATAAGGCCAATTGCAGAAAAGAAACTACCTTGAAAGACAATCGCCAAGATTGAACAATTGAGCCGAGCTTTCACCACGCTTGATTTTCTCCATCTTCTTTGTCGTTTTGATTTGTCGAGCACCCCACTAAAGTTTTTTTTACGCTTATACTCTCATCAACTTTTAAGGTTTCTAAATTTTAAGTCTAATTTTGTTGCTTTAAAGCAATAACCATTTCTAAATTTCACTCTTATCAAATAAAATGTTTGATTTGAAGTAAAAGAGCGGCTGTCAGAACGAATAACCCGCTATCTAGCAAAAAATTCGAGGATAAAGGCCACCCATTTCAGGATTTTTAAAAAAAGCACGGCTCAGAACAGCTACGTCGCTAACTTTGGCAAATGATGCTTACATAAAAGGGTGCTACTACACTTAAGGAGGATTATACTTGCAAGGTACCTCTCCGTACTCCGGCAGACACATGGAGGGAGGTACTTCAAAAGTATATGGGGATGGACAAATAGCATCACCTTTTTTTGATGAGTTAGTTGCTTGTTTTACAATTTTTTTTCTAGGGTAACCAGTTGTGCTGAGTCGAATGGTGATATTTGCAAAGCGTTTAGAACAAGTTGCGCTGCTATTTTTCTGTTTAAAAGTGACTTCTCGCTAGTTGGCATTTATTGGAAGCGAAAGGGGATTGCTGAGCCCTGACTGTATACAAGTTGTAAATCTAGATTAAAAACCTAAAATAAATAGATGATGGCGCTCGCTATAATTTTGTCCCCCTCCCTAAGTGTAATAGCATTCATAAAAGTTATTTTTGCAAAGAAAAAATTTACCTCAAAGATAGCAATGAGCGTATTTACGTAGAGTTTCCTCAATCCCAGACTTTTCCCAAAAGTGGCAAGGACGAGGCATAGTAGAACGGTGAGTGCAACTGGCGGGAAAAGGAAGGCACTCGCAAAGATGATGTGCTCGAAGAACGGACCCATTCTTGTTGATGACGAGCTTCTCGACTACCGAAATGATGCTTGCGTCTGTTGGAAGGCCGTTTTCTAAAGAAAAACGTTATAGAAATATATTTTCGGTAGATAACGTGACAAAAATAGGAAACAGCGGCAAGAAAAAGTTGATAAACAAGCACGAGATCAGAAAAAGAGAGGAAACTCGACTTTGATCTAATCAGCTGGGAAAATGTTCGAAATGTGTGTTAAACAAAAAAAAATAAAACGGATACAAGGTTTTTCTCTTGAAATAAAGTTCAAAAGTCGACAGATGTGTTTCACTATAGTGTAGTGTTTCGACGTTAACAACTAAGCTATGCCACATAGAAAATTTGCCATTGTACACGTAGGGAAACCAATCTGCCGCACTACCACACCCATATCGCTCTTTTTAGCGAACAAATCGAAAACCTCTGAGGCAATAAACAGAAATCGTTGCACTCTGTGAAAAAATCGATCTCAATCGTCGCGTCAAAAGATATCACCATCAATCAAAGTGACAAAAATGATGATAAGTTTGACAGGCCGAAAAAATTTGAGAATAAAAAAGACCAAAGATTTTCGGGAATAAGCGTTTCCTTTCAAGAAAATAACCGCAATTTTCTCGGGTTGAGTCTATGAGAGAAAGTTTTATATCTTTTCGAAACGCTTCCCTTCTTTCCCTTCATCGAAGAGATGAAAAGAGGGCAAAAGAAACGTCACATGTAACCAACACACACGATAAACAACACAAAAAGCATGAGAGGGTACGGTGGGTGAAGCGCGGGATAGAGTTGAGTCAATTTTGCCAATGCTTTCAACAATCAACATGAATTTGATGAGACAGCAAATGGAAGCAAATGAAATAGAAAATGCCGAGAGCCCAAAAACCGCAAATTTTTTTTCCGCAACTTTCTATAACTCGACAACCTATGGTCAGATTTTTCTGTTTTTGGTACTAATTTGTTGCACTTGATAAGAGCAACAAAATGGAATCAAAAACATAGAAATCTAAATACGGGTTTGCAAGATATTAAAGTTGTGGAAATGTCCCTTTACGGGAAAAAATTTGCGGTTTTTTTTGAAAATGCTTAAATAGACTTCAATAGGCAATTAAAGCAGACGTTAAAGCAGACGTTGATACGATTTTTTGCGTGCTTTACAGAGTTGAGTTAGAAAAGTTTATAGAGAATTAGAAAATACAAGAGTTGAGTCAATTTTTAAATCCAAATTTTGAAAACTTTTGGACAACTTTGTTTTTTCTTTGAAACAACCTTCCATTTTGCATCAAAATTCGAAAATTATAAATTTCTGATTTCCTGAAATCTCAAAAATAGAAAAAAACACGATTGCAGAATGGGGGAGTTCCCTATCAATGACCAATGCACATAGAAATGAAAAGAGAAACGACGCAAAAAAAATTGATAAGCAAAGAACTCTGAAAGATTTCGAAGAAAGGCGAAATCGAGCGATCTGCTCAGGGGGCACACGGGGTCAAGGCTCATGCAAGATTGGGGGTGGAGTAGGAGAGACTAAAAGAATGGAGAAAAGAGTGATAAATGATAATGGCTTAGTATAAATTTAGGTCCAATCAACTAGACGAGTGCCGAAAAAAAGCCTTTTTGCAAGCAGTTGCTACTTTGTAGACAAGGGGGAGTCTGGTTGGTAAGCTTGTTCCAGTCTGGTTGGTAAGGTTATTCCTAGAACTAAAAATTAAGGCCAGGCCAGGCAGACTGTCAACTTTTGATGGCTTTTATCAAAACTAATTTGCTTTGTATTACTAGTGTGCTTTCCTTTGAATTTACTAGACGCACTAGACTCACTAGATGCACTAGACGTGGCTAGACCTGTCCGTTTTTGCTTGAATGAATAAAAAAACCAATTCAAAACCAATTCAATTCAATTCAATTATTCAATATTCAATTATTCAATATTCAATTATTCAATATTCAATATTCAATATTCAATATTCAATATTGAATACAAGCGTGTGAAAACGTTTCAACGAAGCTCAAAGAAACAATGTGCTGACCCAGAGACAAAAAGGAATCACTTTAAAAAATGTGGAAGGATCTGGAACTAATGAAACCAACTTTCACAAGAAAAAATGAGAGAAAATTGTGCCTAAATGGAGAAGGAGGCGTTCTTTTACAGAAATGGTTTGACATTGTGAGCGCGACATTGTTTAGGGTACGGTATTTCTAGTGTCTTATTAGATTGCGCCAGCTTTTTGGTGACTCGTCGTCACAGCTGTTAATGGTTTTTGAAAGCTTTGGCTTTTGGCTTGGCCTGGCCTGGCTTTTCACTTTTTCTAGACCAAGCAAAGCCAGCCCATAACCCATGGCCTTGACCTGACTTTCGCTAGCCTGGCTAGCCATAGCTTTTGGCTTTTTGGAACAATTCTGCTAGTTGGGCCACGATTTTTGTCTGAACTTAGTTTTAAAAATAAATCGATCAGGTTTTAGATAAAAAGCTTACCTACCTAGTAGACATGGGAAAATTCCAAGCCGAACCTAATTCCACCTTCGTTTTCTTGGCCATTTCTTGGCCGATTGCTCTGAAATTTTGTCTACAGATAGAAATTGACATTTTCAGCTTGTAGACAAAATTTCAGAGAAATCGGGCCAGAAACGGTCGAGAAAACAAAGGTGGAATTGGGTTCGGCTTGGAATTTACCTGTATTTTTACCCAAAATTGGTATGGCTAACTCGAGAGCCGGCCGATTGAACTCAAAATTTTTGAGCAAGAAGTGATCTAGTGATCTAGAGCTTCAAAAGTGATCTAGAGCTATAAAAATGAGCAGAGACCAGCTATACTACAGTTTAAATTAGACAGGATTCCTATTAGACTCTAGAAATACAGCTATCTTGCAGCCAAAACCTGTAAGCAATAGGTTTTTTAAGAAAAAATTCGGGATTTTCTCGTGAAAACAAAGATTTGTCAAAGATGTTCTGAGATAAAAGAATAAAGTATCTCTGCATTGTTTTTTCCAGGGAATACTTGGGGTCATTCTCATGCAATCATTTGGGGAAAAGACTCTGACGCTTCCTGTGTTACACTTGAAAAATTGCCCAGCAACAAACAACTGACTTCCCAGGATTTCTCTCCATTCAACCCCCGAGAGTTCACCACTCATTGACCTGCCCGCCCGCACAAAATTGATAGCTTTTTAGGCAGTTTGAACACTTTTTGCTGTCGATTGAAGATTGAGAAAAGAGAAATTGTTTACCCCGTTTCGTTCAAAAATCAAATCCAGTGAATCTCGATCCAAAATGATTGAATCGATTGGATTTTCAAATAAAATGAATATAAAATTGTAATTTTAAGTATTTGAACTTGAACTAAAGCATTCTTTTCAAAAACAAAAGCAAATAACAGTTCATTTCTTTTGCCCAATTCAAAAGCAATCCACACTAAACAAAATACTTTTCTCTAATAGTAGTGCACCCTGAGCGTCACCTAAATTCCTCGAAATCTCGAGAACTGTTTATCAGAATCTATCGATGTGGGATCGGAAAATGTAGCTGAAGATGAGATCTAGTGGGGGATTTGAGTGTTGAGCTTCTGTGAAAGCTTGGGAACTGTAAAATAGTCGGGACCGGCTCATCGGGACGCACTACTATTAGAGAAAATACTGTATATAAAGCTACATTGGAAATCAGAACTGAACCTGTATGCTACGCTCCGGGAAAAGTTCCAGCGGCGTCTCTGATCTTTACTTAAGCTCAAGCTTAGGCTCAGGCTCGATGGCGTCGCCATTGAAAATATAACGGAGATTATATTGAGTAAAAGAATGCCGTATTTTCGCTAATAATAGTGCACCCTGAGCGTCGCCTAAATTCCTCGAAATCTCGAGAACTGTTTATCAGAACCTATCGATGTGGGGTCGGGAAATGTAGCTGAAGATGAGATCTAGGGGGGGATTAGAGTGTTGAGCTTCTGTGAAAGCTTGGGAATTGTAAAATAGACACCAACTCGGCTCGCTTGGGTGCACTACTATTAGAGAAAATACGGTAGGTTAAAAACAAATAAAAATAAGTAAGTAAAAAAATAAGTTAAAGAAAGTTGAATGCAGAAAGAAAATATTATCCAAGAAGTGCATTGTTGATTCAAGAATGATTCAAAAATTGTTTAAAATTGAGGAAAAGGGCGAACGGAAACAATCTAAAATATCAGACCACCAGAAAAGACTGGGATTCCAACATTTCGTGACTGACCTTTTTGGAAGAGGAAAGAGGAAGAGGAAAGAAAGCTTGAAAGAGGAAAGAAAGCTTAAAATTGCATTTCCCAGGTGTCCATCTTGGCGAGGCTCGTTTATGTCGGAGCACGTGTCAGTCTCTTTTCAAATTCAAACCTAACTAAAAGGACAGAAATTCTAGAATAGATATGAGATTGGTTGGCCTTTCAAATTTCAAAACTCATCTCAAACTAGAGTACACAATGAGGCAAGAACTTGTTTCTTGTATTTCAAAACATAAAATCATACGGAGTCTAGCGTAATTTTAAGACAGAAATTGATTTTCTGAATCAAGAAATGTTTAGAACATGTTTAGAACATTTTCACCTTTTCCCTGCTCCTCAAAAATGAACTTAACATCAACTTAAGTTTTGGTTATACCAGTTCTTTGAAAAAACTAGCTGCGAAATGCCTAACTTATTTTAGAAGTATCAAGTGTTATATAGAGAATTGTAGCCCTTAATCTTGGCTACATTTATCTACTAAAAACTTCCCGATTGGACTTATACAACTCATTTAACAAGCGCTTGAATGAGATCACTTCGGCCTTGAATGAGATCAATCTGTCTTTTGGCCGCATCAACTTAAATTTTGCTTATGCCAGTTCAGCTAAAACAGTTAAGTGTAATTCTTAATGTTCTTAACTGATGTTAAACGCTATTTTTGCATTGAAGAAATATTAAAAAGCTTTTCTTAACAATGTTTAATAGAGAAAAGCAGCCAAATGACAGGCTCGCCAAATGACAGGCTCGCCAAATGACAGGCTCGCCAA